ATATATATATATATATATACATATATACATATATATATATATATATATATATTATATACTTATCAAAATAACAAAATGTGTGAATCGGATGTCTAAAGTTTTGGTTTTAATGACAAAAAGAAGTCTTCAAAATGTATCATTTAACTTACAATCTGGATCAGGATTACAATGTCCTCCAATGTGAAAATGGGCTGAGAATTGAACACAGAATCAGGAATCCTGTGTTTGTGATGCTGTTCTGCTGTTTAAGGGGGAATGCAAGACTTCTTCACATTACAAATGCTTATCAAACGCAAAAATGCTGCAAAATGCACATCGGTTGTGAGAAAGTGTGACTTTTTCAAGTAAAACAGACCGTATTTTTTTGGAATCAGCACTTAATCAGAAATGAATCAGAAGCGTGTATTGGATTGAACTGAGCAGCAGTTTTATTTGTGACTGTGATCTTGTGCTGTCTGAGATGTGTCCTTGACTCGGCAGGAATCCTGATCAAGATAAGCTGCCGTGGTGTTACACGATGACGGGGCGAGCCGTTTCGTGGGAGTACTGCGCCATCGAGCCCTGCTCCAAACCAGCGCGTCAGTGAAGCACACACAAACACAGCAGATCCTGAGCTTCTCCAGAACAATCCTCATGACTCACAGCTGCAGCAAACACGAAACAAGAGCCATAAGCTTTCCTAAAAAACTTCTCTAGAAATCCCACGGACTTTCTCGGGCGTGTGGGAAGGGAAATCTCACCCAGCGTCGCCTGAAGCTCGAGACTTTATTGGTTGTGAGCAGAGACGCTGCCTCAAAGCGTCAGCATTCAAAACTTTAAATTAATGCTTTTCATTCATCAAGCTTGCATTAAATTAATCAAGAGTAACAGTTAAAGACATTTATAATGTTACAAAAGATTTCTATTTCAAATAAATGCTGTTCTTTTGACAATCTTAACAACAAAAACTTCAAATTTTGAAAGTTTCTTAACTGTTTTGAAGTGTAAGCAACAGCAAATACTAAAGTGCAGAGGTTTTTCTATAGTACAGTTATAGTCATTTATTTATTTACTTTTTATTTTATTTATTTTTATTTACTAATTTATTTACTTATTTTCTTGCTTTGTTTACTTATTGTCATTTATGTATTTTAATCAGTTTTTGTTTATTTATTTTGATCTAATTTCTAATGATTTATTATTCATTTATTTATTTATTTATTTTAATCTAATTATTAAATTTATTTTGTTTCAATCTGATGTTAATTTGTTTATTTATTTAAATCACTTTTATTTATTTTGATCTATTTTATTTTATTTATTCTAATGTAATATCTAATTATTTATTTATTTTATTTTTAATAGTCTATTTATGTATTTGTTTGCTTTAAATGTTTATTTATTGTTTTAATGTAATTATCAGTTATTTATTTATTTAATCTTATTTTTATTATTTATTTTTTATACTGAGAAAATTAGACTGTGACACATTATATTAATTATTATATTAATATTAAATTACTGCTGTTATTGCAGTTGCTATGTTTCAGTTATAGCAGACGGCTAAAACAACTCAAATACAAAGACTGTACTTTGTGTTGCATTTTATTTTAAGTGATAGAATACTTCATATGCTTCAGTCAGGATTATTATAATTGAACACAGTCTCTGTTGTCTCTGTCAGTGGGCCGCAGAAGTCCCGTCCTCGCCGTGGCCCCGGGGCCGTCCCGCAGACCCGTCAGGACCCCGGCGTGTGGGAAGCGGCAGGAGAAGCGGATCAGTCGGGGTCGAATCCTGGGCGGGACGTCTGCATTGCCCGGCGCTCACCCCTGGATGGCAGCGCTGTACATCGCAGACGAGTTTTGTGCAGGAACGCTGGTCTCCTCCTGCTGGATCGTGTCGGCCGCTCACTGCTTCCTGCGCAAGTATGTGTCTGTGTGTGCACTTCATGCATTTCTATAGAGTTACAGCTTCAGTCTAACTCTCTCTCTCAGTCCACTAAAGTCACAGATTCGGGTCGTTCTCGGCCAGCACTCCTTCAACGACACCGGTCCCAACACCAGGACCTTTGCTGTTCAGGACTATATTCTGTACCCGCGTTACACACAGTTTGAGCCGACCTTAAACGATATCGGTGAGTTTGGACTCCAAAAGCAGACAATACAACAGCTAGTGCTTTAAACTAGAATCAGGGAACTACTTTATAAGCTTTATATTGAAGTTCAATTAAAGAGATTTGTCTAATTTGCATCCCTGAACAATCCTACCTTCAGGAGTTAACATTATATATATATATATACAAAATATATTTTAAAAAATACACAATTTGTTTGTTTTTAATTTTATTTTATTCATAATTTTACTTAAAGTTTTAGTAATTTTGTTGTGTTTTTGTAATTTAATCTATCTATCATCTATCTATCTATCTAAACTACTTTCCATTTTTCCAAGTTTTGTAATAAATAAATGTTAGGCTAAATTGGCAACACTGTTACCCATGTATTTATTTATTTATTATACATTTTTGTCAATTTAATAATTATTTTTTTTGCATGTTTATTGCTAGAAAATGGTAAAATCACAGTAATATACCCTTTAAACAAACCCTAAAGAACATGAATAAAAAATCAAAACAGCTCATATGAAATTAAGTTTGAGGTTCTGATTGTTATGCACCTCATTTCATTGAACATGAAATGGACTTTATTCATAGAATTGTAAATTGTTTCAGGCCCTGTTTTGTACCTTATTCAGTAAAATTCCCCGGTGTGTTCAGATGTGGGTGTCTGCAACACGGTAGATTGAACAAAGACAACACATTATGTGCAAATGTGCTTTTTCAACCAAATATATGTAACACACACACACACACACACACACACACACACACACACATACACA